ATAGGTGTGTAGATTCCACCAATGTCTGCTTTTGGAATGACTCTGGAATCCAGCCTCCTTTCCAGCCTCTAGGCTGGGATGGTGGTGTATTGGGCGGCGGCGTTCCTCCACCTACTTCCACCAGGCTCTGCCTTTTAAAGTTTATTTTAAGGTATTTCATTATAGTTTTTAAAATATTCTATTGTAAATCATTTTAGTAATGTAGTTGAAGACCGGGGCATAAATCTTAATTAAGCAATGACTTGTTTAGCTGTGCTAAATTAGCTCATTGCTTTTAGCACAGCTAGAGTCACATCAGCACGTAGATAAAGTTTCTGAGTCATAGATGCACCCTCACCCAAGCAGTGCAATCAGATAAGACTTTCAAAACGTAGTTACTCGGAAATGTATGATCTGGTTTGAGTGGGAGGAACTGCCGGCAAATGCACAGGTTTGTTTTAGCTTGTTGCAGAAATTACATTGTCTTCCATGTATTATCATGGGTGTGTTAGCAGAGAGATCCTGATATTGTGAGCTTCCTTCCCATCTGGAGCATGCTGTCTGGCGTTTCATCACACCAGTGAGGTCTCCACCCTGACCTTCATTTATGGCAGCCTCTGAGAAGATCATCTATGAAAAGGAAAGTTAATTTACTAAACATAGCAATTGTCACTAGACAATCCTGCTTTAAAGGAAAGTTAATTTTCTAAACATAGCAATTAGACACTAGACAATCCTGATTTAATATTGTCTGTTCTTCCTATGTTCCTCCAACCACCTAGCTGTTTCACTTGAGGATCAATGTGTGTGTCTAAAAATGGTGTGTTGCATGGGCCTATGGGTTGCCATATTTCAAACCCTGAAAGCTGTAGAGCTTTTTTTTTTTTTTTTACGAAAACGCCACCAAAAACGTGTGTTTTTTCAATCAGATGGAAGAGGGTAAAACAAACATTTGGTCCGTCCCCCCCCCCCATTTCTTGGATTTATATCCTACCTTTTTCTTCAAGGAGTTCAAGGTGGCATAGCTCTCCTTCTCCACATTTTATCCTCACAACAACCCTGTGAGGTAGGTTACACTGACATGCAGTGACTGGCCCAAGGTCACCCAGTGAACTCCATAGCCAAGAGGGGAATCAAACCCTGCTTTCCCAGGTCCTAGTCTGATATTCTAACCACTACACCATGTTGGCCATGGGTGTAGCCAGGATTTTTCTTAGGGGGGCAGGCCTTTTGCTGGGTGGGGGGAAGAACCTCAGTTAGCGGTGTATTTTTATTGATTTTTGTTGATGGGGGGGCAGCTGCCACTCCCTGCCTCCCCCCAGGCTACACCCATGAGGTTGGCTGTTATACTGCCTGTGCAATAAAAGAAGAGTATAAGATGAGCCCAGTCCCAGTGCTAGATTACCCAATAGGCAGACTAACCATGTGCTTGGGGCATCAGCAAAGCAGGAACACCAGAGAGAGAGAGAGAGAGAGAGAGAGAGAGAGAGAGAGAGAAATTCCAGAAGGAATTTGACATTAATTTTTTTTAAAAAAAGAATTGAAGTAGTTATCATGGGAAAAATTAGACCTTTGTCAAGACTTTCCTACACTCCATTCCACACTTTTCTGTTCTCCTTTTATTCCTTATCCCCAGTTAAACAGGAAGACAGATCTTGTAATGCGTTGCACATTACATGCATGTATGTCTATTTCAACAAACCTGTATGTTTTGTGCCATTTTGAAAAATAACATTTTATTGTACTGTTTTTATTGCGAATTATGCACATGGGCATGATAAACTTTTCATAATCTTCGGGTCTCTAAAGGACTTAATCAGACCCTAGAAGAGCCTTCTTGGATCAGGCCAATGGTCCACCTGGTCTACTAGCAGTCTAGCAGTAGCCTGTAGGTAGCCTGAAACTGATGCACAACAGTGTGTGCACCCAGACACTTTCATAAAGGATCATAGAATTGTAGAGCTAGAAGGGACCCCAAGGGTCACCTAGCCCAGCAGAGTATTAGCTGATGTATTGGCGCTAGGTGGCTTCATGGAGATGGAGCCACTTTTCCCACATTCATTCAGGCCTAGTCTGACATCCCTCAGTTCAATATCACCTTTGGACTCAAGTTGTTACACCGTGTGAGTTCTCTGTGGTGCATCAAATTGACAACTAGGCCCATCTTCTTTTGGCAACCTTGCACACTCATGGATCCTTTCCATTTCTGTTTCCACACATCATTAACTACAATCGCTGTCACTTAGATTGCCTTTGGCCATGGCTTCACATAGTGGCTCCCAGTAAGCAACAGTGACTCACGAGCCAGGAAGCTAACATCGTGGTTCCACCCATAAGGTTGGCAACCCCCTCAGGTTGGCGAAGACTGCTGGAATCATACAGCCACAGGAGCAAACTGACATCACTTGTTCAGATTTAGAGACATCCAATTATAACCCTTGAAAATTAGTTTCTACATTCTAAAAAAACTAGTTTCTATGTTCCCATAGAAGATAAGCTCTTCGTCAACATTTGGTATGCTAGGTTAGTTACACACACACACACACACACACACACACACACACACACGTATTTACTATAACTATAATTGTTCTAGATATTTTCCCATGTGAAACCACAGGAATAGCGCAAGCCTTAACAGGTTGAATAGAGGAGCATGTCCAGATCGTCCTTTCACCTAACTCTTTATCTCTTTATCTCTTACTTCAGCATAATATATTTCCAGTCTTATTTGGCAGCTACCGGGTGTCTGTTTCCCAAAAGCCTAGCAGAGTCGTGGCTCATTGGAATAGAGTTTGCATGTGGGTATGAAGGTAAGGGTGCGGAAGGAACCCTCAGGACTCATAAACTAAGCATCTCCCGTTGTTCTGGCACCATATGAAAGAGATACAGTTTTAAAACAAGATGATCTGCAACTTTTCCATTAATTTCCTCGCAGCAGAAGATGTGGAGAATCCAGCAACATTCCATACCAGCTTATTTTAAAGTGCTTTTAAAACACCCTATGCAATTGAAAAAAGGTACTTTCGCTTGCTCCAGGCAGGTCCAAACTTTGCCTGATTTCCCCCATGCTTCTGCAGGTCCCCATTCTCCATCCCACGACACTCCTCAACCCTCAGGAGCGGGCTTCAGTTGGGCAGAGGTGGGGTTCCCATGTGGCGGGAGACTGGGACAGGCCTGTTGTGTGTTTAGAGTTCTGGCAACACGAAGGGAGAAAAGGGCACCTGTTTTCCTGGATCGGACATTAAAGAATATGCTCCAAAGAGTGTGCATGCTTCTAAGCCAAAAGCAGAAATCAAACACTCTGCCTTTTGGTGCCTCTCCTATGCAGCCAAGCAATTATTTTGTATCAGCACACTTTTGGAGGTTCAGCAGCCGCACAGATCGTTAGCAGAGGAGATACTCTGATATGTAAAGCAGTTAACCAAGGTCTCGCAGCTGAATGTTTTAATTTATCTTCCCTGGCTTTAAATCTAGCTTTTGAAGACGCTATCTGGAACACTTTTTAAAAACACACACGCACCCACGTCACCCACTCCCGCACTTGAGCAGCTGCACAAGACTCCTGTTTTTCTGATTGCTGCTATCTAAAAGAGAGGAACCCAAAACAAAGTAATACTTCAGCTGATAAGGGAATTACTTTGCTAAAAGACAAGGCAACCCAGGATATTTGGCACAGCTGGGGGGAGAGCAGAAGGTGCCCCTCTGCTGGCTGCTTCCTTCCAGAAAGTTTCAAGGTCTCTAATTAAGCAACTTCATGGTGGGAGGCGGTTGCTCGTTTATATCCTTAAAGCAATTAAGAGCTCTGTCCGCACCACACACCTCGTTTAAGTAATTGCTACTTTAAGGACAGCCCCAGTAGCTGCTTTTTAGCAAATGCCCCTGCAAGAAATGTTACACAGTAGCATTCAAGGATGGAATTCACAAGGAGATTTTGCAGTCAGAGAATGGGGTAATTTAGTCTGTAAACTGAGCAATATGTATTGTGTTAGCATGAAGCGACATGCATTTCAAAGGCACAGTGTGGACTCTCAAACACTCCTTTCCCCTGCTCTCTTGTTGTGCTACCTCTTTGCTGCCCGCAACTAATTAGGAATGGCTTGCTCAATACAGGGAAAGATAATAAAATATGGTCTACAAGTGGAAATTTAAGAATGGCTCTAATTCTCCTGGGTGTTTAGGCATCTTATTGTACCCCACTCACTATTTTGCTTTTTAAGAACTCTCAGCAGGCCACTAACAATGGGAAGGTTTCTTCCAACTGTGCTTGCTCAAGCTGAAGAATTACATATCAAAGGGCAGTGAAGAGATGCATTGTTTCTGGTTAGGTTCGGACACATTTTCTTCCCCTGTTTGGCTGCAGGAACAGCATAATACAGATTAAATGTGGATGGGGCATAGATCCCATCAGAAACCAAAGACACAAAATACAGACCTGCAGAAATAATAATGAATGAATAGCAATGAAAAGGGTGGTGAGGTTTCCTGTTCCCCTGTGCATTAAATATGATGCACAATGGACTGTGCAAATAATAATAATAATTGAAATTGTGCTTTGATTCATATTCTAAATGTGCCTTTTTTGACTTCATAATTAATTACTGAGAAGACGAAACGTAGTCACAATTATGGCTGATGACAGCCACCCTGCCAAGCAGGGCTGCCAGCATTATCAAATTAGATTATCCTAATGTGCTCTATGTGGCATTGCTCATACTGATTCAGAAACGTCAGTGGGCAGAGAATGCTGCTGCCTGACTACTGATGAGCGCTAGGCAGCCTGATTGGATTCCTACAACTTTAAAACATTTGCTCTAGTTACCAGGTAGTTTCCGAGTCCTATGTGGTGGTTTTGACCCATGTGAAACCTTAAAGAAGTCTGGTGGTGCATTCACATGCAGATTATTGAGGACATCATGGTGCTCGTGCATGTAGCAGGCCTTATACTGAGTGCAACCACTGCTCTATCTACCTCAGTATTGTGTCCACTGGCTGGCAGCAGCTCGCCAGCATTTTCTACATGGAGATGGCCTAGGAACTGAACCTGGGACCCTGTGCATGCAAAGCAGGTGCTTTATCACTGAGCTATGAGCCTTCCGCAGCTTTGTGCAGCGACTACACGATGTCATACTCGTCAAAATGCTATTCCATTTTTTGCTGCCTCCATTACTTTCTCTATATGTCACCCAGTGGTGTTTTCCTAGGTGGTTCAGGCCCACAAGTGTTTCGGCTCAAATGAGGTGGCAGAACCCTCAGTGGCCCTCAATGATTTGGTTTGCAAAGCATTTTGAGAATAGAGATTGCTTGTACCTGGGCTTCACTGTTGCAGCAGGAATTGCTCCCCAAACCTAGAGCCCAATTCAACGTGCTGGTTTTAGCCTACAAAGCCTTCCTTGGCTCAGAATCCTATCACCTCATGTGCCACTTTTCCCCACATGGAGGGTGATAACAAGAGAATGGACTCTTTGGGTGGCATTTGTGTAATTCTCTCCCCAGAGAGGCTCACCTAGGCCATCACAACTCCCAGAATTCTTTGGGGGAAGCCATGACTGTTAAGAGGTATCATAGTGCTTTAAATATATCCTAGTGTGACCACTAACATCTTTTGGGTGTCTGGAGCAGGTATTTTTATTCTGCCAGACATTTCAGTGTTAATACCATTCAGTTTTGTATGTATGACTATTTTAGTTGGGATTTTTGTTGTTCATTCTTGTGTTGCAAAACTGAGGAGAGAGCAGTTTTGTTTAATAATTATTATTTGAGGATGCTCATATTTAATCTGTTATTATTAATTTTAAATGCTGCATTTGTATGAACTCTGAATTTTATTGCTGTAAGTCACTTGGAGGCTTTTCTGTGGAAATCAGACAATTAAAGTAACAACCATGCAGTGACAGCAAAGTAAATAAGGAAGTTACAGGAATTGGCTGTGTTCTGGTCAGTTCCCCTTCAGCTTATTATTCTTTGATTATTGCAGTGCTAAATTCCTTCCTAGATTTGTATTATAGATGATCTACCAGTATCTATTGCCTTTTGCACAGAGATGACAAATGCAACTTTTAGGCGCTGGTGAAGAAAATAATATTTGTTTTAAAATTGCTTAGGAAAAACATGCCCTTGAGAAGGTAAGTGGGAACAAATAGCCATGATTTAGCAGGATGAATTTTAAACAGGGTAAGATCTTTAAAAAGAAAACAAAGGGGAGAATGTTGTCTTTGAAGAGATCAGATTAGCAACCTTCGCAAAGAGCCAAAACACTACAGATGCTCTTGTCGCTTCACTAGATTTTCTCTGTTTCTCTTGTTCTCAAGTGTTTTCCCCAAAGAATTCAAGATTTCAAGTGGAACGTCCCCCCGCCCACACTGAAACATAAGGACAAGAAGGGCTTTAGGGGCACAGCATTACAATTTTTAAAAAACAGCAACACAGAATATGTTTAAGCTGATCTTCTTTTTTAAAATTTGACATTGGAATTCTAGGCTGGCTTGAACAGCTGCCCAATATTTGCAGATTAATCTTATCCAGTAAGATAAAATTAGCTCCATCTTTTACAGAGGGGAAAATAATCCTTGGCCAGCACCATTTATTCCTTCAGGCCAATTCTAGGTTGTTGGTATCTCTTGAGCAAGATGCTTGAAAGGTGCCCTCCACCTGTGCTTATCCATCATCTTCTTCACCACTGTAAAGAGTGGCCTCTTTACAGAAGACAGCCCTCTGTTTTGAAGGGCTCTCAGAAGACAATCCTCATTTCTGAAGATGTCCCCTATTTCAGGACTGTCCATTCCAGGTCTGGTTTAAAGTTAAAGAATCATGAATAGGGAGAGCCTGGAAGGTTAGGGTGTCCGTCAACAAGGTGTCCATCAACAATCAGTTGCATCTGCTCACTAAACTGAGCAGGCACACACAAGTCACCTGGTATCTTCATGATTAGATGTATTGTACTTCTATTTAAATTATAATAACTATGTCTAAATTTGACCTATAAATATATGTCACTATGTGCACATTTTATGCAAATTTGGTGATTTTTTTTGGTGATGCAAGTCCTCTTCTTTGGCAATGCATCACTGGCCCCCTTACTATCTCAGCCTCCCACTGACCTGTATTTCCCTCTGAGCTGATTGCATAGTATCTTCCTAAGAGAATGGACAAACTAAACAGAATGTTCTGGTTCTCCTTCTTGCCCCTTTGATTGTATAACAGTGCCCCCAGCTCCCAGCCCCTCTAGATGGTCCAGAAGGATGTTATGGTCGATGGTATCAAAAGCCGCTGAGAGATCCAATAGAACTAGGAAACAGCACTCACCTTTGTCCCTAGCCGGCCGGAGATCATCGACCAGTGCGACCAAGGCAGTTTCAGTCCCATGATGAGGCCTGAATCCTGATTGGAAGGGATCCAAATGGTCCACTTCTTCCAGACATGCCTGGAGTTGTTCTGCAACCACTCGCTCAATCGCCTTGCCCAAGAATGGAGGATTTGAGACTGGGCAATAGTTGGCCATATTGGCCAGGTCTAAAGATGTTTTTTTAAGAAGCAGTTTAATGATCGCCTCTTTCAGCGGGTCTGGGAAGGCTCCCTCACAGAGAGAAGCATTCATCACCCCGCGAAGCCCATCGGCCAGCCCTTCCCAGCTAGTTTTTATAGGCCAGGATGGGCAAGGATCAAGGAGACAGGTGGTTGGTTTCACTCGTCCAAGCAGCCTGTCCACATCCTCAGAAGTAACAGATTGGAATTGATCCCATGCAACTTGACTAGACAGGACTCTTGCACTCTCCCACCCCGGCCCTGCTCCCATGGTGGAATCTACCTCTTCCCGAATCTGAGCAACTTTATTTGCAAAAAACTTGCAGGAGATCATATGGTCTGTACTGGGCTCTGATAGAGCAGGTGGTTCTGCTAAATTGCGAACCACCTGAAAGAGTTTCCTGCTGCTGTTTTCTGCAGATGCAATAGAGGTGGAAGAAAGTCTTCTTCACCGTTGCTATTGCCACTTGGTAGGCTCAACATTGAGCTCTAACCTGTGTGTGGTCAGCTTCAGAATGAGTTATCTGCCACTGGCACTCTAGCCATCTCAGCGATTATTTCATTGCCCTCAGATCCATGGAAAACCGTGGGGCTGTCCAGGTTCCATGCAATCGGAGAGGGCGCTTCAGAGCCAAACAGTCAATAGCGCTGGTTAACTTCACATTTCAGCGGGCCACCAGGGAATCAGCTGAAAGGCCATCAACATCGGATAAAGCATCCCCTACCACTCTCTGGAAACCATTTGGAAACCAAGTGGTGGGGGCAGACCATCTGAATTGGTCCCACCTCCCTGCAGAGGGGAAGGGTCATGGAGAAGTTCAGTTGCATACCTTCCAACATGTCAAGGTAAAAACTGGGATGCCATTTTCCAGGGTTGCACTCCCATACGAGTCATGTAACTCTGGTGCTTTTGCGTGAGAGAACAACACCCCAAGGGACACGGGTGGCTCTGTGGGTTAAACCACAGAGCCTAGGACTTGCCGATCAGAAGGTCGGCGGTTCGAATCCTCGTGACGGGGTGAGCTCCTGTTGCTCGGTCCCTGCTCCTGCCAACCTAGCAGTTCGAAAGCACGTCAAGTGCAAGTAGATTAATAGGTACCGCTCCAGCGGAAAGGTAAACGGCGTTTCCATGCGCTGCTCTGGTTCGCCAGAAGCAGCTTAGTCATGCTGGCTACATGACCCAGAAGCTGTCTGCGGACAAACGTCGGCTTCCTCGGCCAATAAAGCGAGATGAGTGCCGCAACCCCAGAGTCGGCCATGACTAGACCTAATGGTCAGGGGTCCCTTTACCTTTACTTACAACACCCCAACACGTGTGTTTGGGGGTGTCATGTGAGATTTTGGCCCCCCAAAAGTGCTTTTGGGGGGCAAGATCATAGTGCACAATCACATCATCCAAACTGCTTGTTTTCCCAGGACAGTTGACGTGTATGCTGATATAGTAGTCAGAAATGGAGCAAAATCTAATAATCAGTCCCAAACGCAATGGTCTAAGCTTTACTTTAAACTCTTCTTCTCATTCCCCACATCTTATTTCCATGACCAGAGGGAAATTTAGGAAAACCACCTGAGAGAAGACTGAAGACTAAGATGACAATGTCAGAAGACGACTCTTCCACGTTTTGCATAGAAGATTTGGCCACTACCCTCCAGAAAGTAATGCAAACAAAAAACCTCAAAGAGTCTTAACAGCACTTTCAAGACTAACAGGAACCTTCATGTTTCGACTGACCATCAGTCATCACAACATTGGCAAGGACTTGCAAAGCAGATCGGAGTCATCGTGATGTCAGTTTCCAGCTCTCTACTAGAACCAATGGGAACATGTAGAGCTGTGTTGGGAAGGGTCCATAGCTCAGTTCTAGAGCATCCACTTTGCATGCAGAAGGGCTCAGTATCAATGCCTGGCACCCTCAGAGAGTTAGAGTGGATGCTACTGAGCTAGATGGACCAATGTTCCTATTAGGTAGAGGGCAACTTCCTGTGAGTTTTCCGCTGCAGGGAGGCCATTCCTGTGACAATGGCCTAGTTCACACAACACAGTGAACCTACCCACTTTGTACTCCCTCAGTCCTTTTTACTCTCATACTGTGCTGAGATATTTTGGGCTCAGCTGTGGTCGGTGACTTGGGGCTTACAAGAATATTACATTTTATCCTACTGCCTAGTCCCTTTTTAGCACCTTGTTTATGGTGCTGGAGGAGACTCTTGAGAGTCCCATGGACTGCAAGAAGATCAAACCTATCCATTCTTAAGGAAATCAGCCCTGAGTGCTCACTGGAAGGACAGATTGTGAAGCTGAGGCTCCAATACTTTGGCCACCTCACGAGAAGAGAAGACTCCCTGGAAAAGACCCTGATGTTGGGAAAGATGGAGGGCACAAGGAGAAGGGGACGACAGAGGACGAGATGGTTGGATAGTGTTCTCGAAGCTACCAGCATGAGTTTGACCAAACTGCGGGAGGCAGTGGAAGACAGGAGTGCCTGGCGTGCTCTGGTCCATGGGGTCACGAAGAGTTGGACACAACTAAACGACTAAACAACAACAGCAATTACACTCAGAATGGACAGTATG